GATCGGTACGGAAGCAGACGGGGCAGTCACAGCCATACAGCTCAGGATGGACAAAGGTGGTAGAATGACCCAACGGGTACGGCTTTCATGCGCTCACTCCCGTGTCTAGTTGCGCATGATCCGGTTCGCTCCCCGTCGTGGCTGAATCAAACACCCCGGATAAAGAGTGAATTTTGGCGCCGTTTCGCTAGCTCCATCGCGGCCTGTAACGCCTTGACCGAATTCGCAACCTCCTGCTCTCGAGTCCTTGCTCTGCCTGGGCCCAGCTCACAGCTCAAAGTAGCCCGCAGCATTGGACACACTCGATCGTTGGACAAGATCAACGACGATGGATATTCCAGGACGGGGGCTGCTTGCATCACGTGGCGCTACTTTCGTTTCCCCGCCTCTACCTGAGCCTGGAGGCTCTGCATGAGCACCGCCAGCCCGCTGAGTTGCGATGGGCTGAGCTTGCTGAGCACGACCGAGATGTGCAGGATCTGCTGCTTGCCCGCTGCCGCACCGTCCGCACTACCCTCGGCCGCGCTTTCGCTGATACCCAGCAGCACGGCCGGTACGCTCTGTGCGGGGTCAATGGGCACAGGCAGACCCTGCAGCCCCTGTGGCTGTCCATTGAGCCCGATCACCGGTCGAATATGCGGGCTCGGCGAGGGCTGTATCCCCAGCGCCGATAGTCGCGGGAGCGAGGCCACAGGGATGAGCAACGGGATCGGGTGGTTCGGTATCGATGCATTGGCTGGAGCTGCTGCCGCAGAAGCCGCAGTCGCGGGCGGGGCTGGTCGCACAGCCGGTGGCGTGCCATTTGCCTTGGCCGGGGGTGTCTTGGCAGGCGCGTGGCTCGGCGGATCGACAGTCGTGCCCGAGGGCGACGGCGGTACGCGCGGCGTGTTGAGGCTCGTAGCGCTCATCAGCGTTGGATGCATGGTCGACGGTCGGACGCCCGTAGATCCGGGCGCTGGCGGCAGCGTCAACGCAAATGCATCGCCCGCATACCCAGGTGCGGGACCAGGCATGGTCGGCGGCACCGGCGATGCCTGTGGTGGCCGTACTTGCATGCTGACGCCCGGCCCAGCCGTCATGGCAGGCGGAGACATGGCCATTGACACTGCACCGGCCGTTCCAAGGGCAGTCGGAGCCGATGGTGTGGCAGCCGGCTTGGCAGGCTTCTCCTTCTTCTTGCGCGGGACGCTCGAGCCGATGGGCGGTCCGC